CCGACCAGATTAGTTCTGCTTTTACATCATCTTTCACAAATATTGCTATTCCTTTCTTTTTATGTTTGTCTGCTGGTGCTGTAAAGAGTTTTCCAAGTTTCGGGCAAATTAAATATCTTTCATCCTTTTTCGTTATGTGTGTTTCTTGTAGGCATGTTATGTCGGCGTTTAGTCTAATTAATTTAGTTAATATTCTTTTCCTTTTGGGTGTTGAATTTAAACCATTTATATTAATGGAGAGGAGTTTTTTTCCTATCTCCATTTATCTAGATCTGTTTAGTTTTTTGTCTAGTGATAATTCGGTTTCCTTCTTGTTGTTGTTGTGAGATTGGTTCTTCTCTCCCTGGTTGTGATTTATCATTCCCTAAATTTTGAGGAAGTCCTTCTTTTTGGTTTCTATGGCGATTGCGTTCATCCTGTGGCTTCCTTTTAGTTTCCTCCTTGGTGTATTGGTCATCCATGCCTATTAACTGATCGTGAAAGTCTTGGGCCTGTTCTATAGAGTCTATTTTGATTTTTCTCTCTTTCCACGTTATTAACATCCCTTCCGGGATTAACCATTTAAAAGGGATTTCTTTTTTATTTAAATAATTGGCCAAAAATTTATAATCGTCTTATAACCCTCACTTTCCTTGGGATTTGTTTTAGAATTGTAATCTCTTTGCCTCTAAATGTTATTGTTTCTTCTCTGGACATTTTAAGAATTAGGTCTCTCACACACTTCCTTGCGAAACGAATATGAATTTCTCTCGGGCAGTTATGGTGTCTAGTATAACTTGTGCTGACCCTATACACCTCGTCAAATTCTTTGATTAGATCATCTTTTTCTTTCCCTAACCATTCAGCCAACAGTTCTGCCATTAATTGTTCTAGTTCTTCATTTTTCGCTTCTGCTACATTTTGAAACCTTAAATATGTCGTTGCTTTATCCATTTCGAGGTGGACCAGGGAGTCTTCGGTTTCTCTAGTTACATTTCTAAATTCCTTCTCTATCCTTTCAAAATTTGTCTCCATCCTTTCTGCCCTACCCTCTATTTCTCTTATCTTAACTTCGTTTTTCTCCATGGCTTGTTGCAAGGACCCTATCTTATCCTCCACCTTGAGTAAGTCTGCTTTCATTTCCGCTTTAAGCTTTCCCACCTCATCTTTTAATTGACTAATGTCTGCTCTGGTTTCATTGTGATTCTTAATCATTATTTCTTGCATCTTAGATATTGCTTCTTGCAGGAATAGTAGGGTAGCTTGTATATTAACGTTAGAGACATTAGACTGTTTTTCCCCTATTAGAGATTCTTCAATGGTTTTTTGGGTTGTTGGTGGAGCAGAAGTTAAAGTAGTTGTTAGGGTCGGGGTGGTCTTCCTTCCTAATTTCAAAGCCATAGTTGTCATGGAGGTCATCTCTCTTAATATTTGTTTTTGCTGTTGCACTATATTGGATATATTGTCCCAGATCACCATTCAGTGTTTAACTCCTAAAATAGAAGCTCTATTCTAATTCTTCAATCAAATATATAGATAGGCAGCCTGTACATCTATATTATAAAGGGTTATCTAATAATATATAATAATCTCTTTAATTAATTTATATACTGAATATCAATATTAATCACCAAAAATACATCAAATCCAACCCAATTACAACTTTAAGAGTTAATCTAAAAACACTGTTTTTCACTCTTTGTTGTTACTATTTAGGACAATCAAATCAATTGTCACTAAAAACTATAATGACAATATACCTTTTTTTTTCCCCTTGAGTAGGTAGATTTATCAGACTTTTTTCGGGGGTTAAGATAGAAAGAGGAAAGGCTGAAAGAGTGGGGAAGGAAAAGAGGGAAAAGTTTACCTTAATTTCAGGAAATCAGTGAACAAGGGGTTAGAGGATCAAGTTGTAAAAATAGTGTCCAAATGGTGATCTTAAAGTATTACCTAATAGAAATTCCAACAAATAAAGAAATGTAATAAGAAAAAAAAAACCTTATAGTCAATCATCAAACTAAAGGTTTAAGTTTTGAGTTTCTTCCCAGCACTCCGAGGAGCAAGTGGTATAAAGTGCTGACTAATCGCAATAAGAAGTCGATCCTTCCCAGCTTTCCATTGGACTCTTCCTCCTTTCCCTTTCCTGATCTTGGGTTCAATGTACAAATCTCCTTCGCTTATTATTCCCTCCAAAATCCATTAGCCATCTCTTCTTGATCGCTTAACAATCTGTCCTCCCAACAGTGTTAAATAAAGCCGAAGATCTTATTGAGCTCAGTTCAGAGAGATAATAAGTCACTTTCAGTACTACAGTTCTTCCTCCTCTGTCCCCTGCTTCTTCTCAAATATTATCAAAAAGTTAATCCCAAATACCAAGTCACTCACGAATTCAAATCTCCAATCTCCTGGTTTCAAGTGTTCTTTCTCTCCCCCCAGGGGTTTCCCTTTCAAAAGCTGTAGTACACACACTCACTCTAACGATCACGCCTTTCTGCCTTTTGTTTTGCAAGCTGCTTTTCTGGCTGCTTCCCTCTCCTGCTTCCACGAAAGTGCTGCTCACAACCAGGAAAAGAAATCTCTCACGCCACTATCATTCTTCAATCTTCAGTATTGTATTTATAATCTTTCAACGCCTTTTACTGCTCCGATCTTGCAGGCTGTCACTATCTTGCTTAGTCACCTCGGTGGCAGACGGGGCTTTGGAGCCGCCATAGGCTGGCAGCTAACTCTTCCGCGCTGGGCTCAGGAGCTCTTCTCTTCGCTACCAGGGGGTTGCCTACCCCCACCCAGTAACTCGAGATTCTCCTATGCTGACACAAACCTCTCCGGAGTTCGTGTATCCCCTGGGGATCGCTCCAGACGCTAGAGAAGGTAACCGAAAACAGCAACAGTTTTCTCCACCTCTGCACATCCCTGTCCTGCCACCAGGATTCGAGTCGAAATCTGTCCCCGGGATTCAAGTCGAAATCTGTCCCCGGGATTCGAGTCGAAATCTGTCCAATTTTCACTGAGTATAAAATCATAGTTTAATCACATACTTTTGAGACTTTGGCAAAACAACCAGGATTAGCATGAAGATTAGTGGAACTGATACTACCCCAAATCATATGACGAATGGCTAAGGTATATTTAACCTAGCGAAGAGAAAGCTTAGGGGAGATGTGATAACCATCTTCCAACATTTGAGGGGCTTTCACAGGGAAGATGGCATCACTTTACTGTCCATAACATTTGAATGCAGGATAAAAAATAATGTGCGAAACCTTCCAGGGAGATCCAACCTGGAAATAAGAAGGAATTTCCTGGTAGTGGGAATGACCTCCTCCCAGAGTTATGGGTCCTCCATCATTCAAAAAAGATTGGACAATGATTTGCCTGGGATGGTATAAGGGTTGGTCTAGAAGACAAAGTCTCTTCCAGTCCTATGATTCTAACTACATGCAAATCAAGTACACCCTGGAATATACAATGAATGCTGAGATTAAGACAACTTTGAGTCAGGAAAATTCATTATGGGATTCTTACAACAAATCTCAGCATATAGCAAGATACAAAGAGAAATGTTTTGAAATTGGCAGTTGCAAGGCAATTTCTATATAAAAAACATCCAAATGTATGCAAGAAAAATTCTGACCATTTGGGAAACAACTTTTCTTGAGAATGAGAATGTTTTGGGATGACACCCCTCTTGTTTCCAGATACTATATTTCTGATCTAGTTATACAGCTGATCTTTCTAGAGAAAATGCTGGTTATTCTTTTACATGAAACTCACTGCAGAAATTGGTATGGTAACTCTTTTTAAGAGTTAGAAGCATAGCTTTTTTCCTTAATGTAAATCATTTGATTAATGAAGGAATGGCATGGGAGCAGAAGTCATACTATAGATTAGGAAATTTATCTGTTAGAAATTGCTGGTAGTATTAATTTTTAATAATATGAAATTCTGAAGAATGCAAATTCTATTTTTTCCAATATATTCCATTTTTGCAGCATTGTTTTTTAGGGAAGACATTCCAATGACCACACTAAATATTATGACATGCCTAATATGCCACAGTAGGCCTAGAAACTCCAGGAGTGGGATATGACAGGGTTAACTACTGGTTTGGAATTTACGAGCTTCCCTGCCCACTGTGAGCCATGCGCCTGTAAATCATCATTAGCACTCTGCCTGCCGAGAAGCAGCCTTTGAAACAGCCCTCTTTTCTTGTTTTTTTAATTGCAGATGTGCTTCGTTTGGCAGCTGAAGTTGAAAAATCAGGAAATAAAGATTAGGTAAGAGCCCAGGTGGGCAAAAACATCAGCAGACATAGAACCGGTTCTATGTCTGCCGCTCTTCAGAGCTACCGGTTCTACAGAGGTGGACAGAACCGGTAGAAACCCACCCCTGAGAAACTCATATATTTTACATTGAGCTACTGAAGTCTTTCTAAATGCTTTTTATGAGCATCATAAATTGAAGACCTGTGGTGGCACAGTGGTAATATGCAGTATTGCCGGCTAAACTCTGCCAACTGTCAGCAATTCAATCCTGACTGGTTGAAAGTTGACTCAGCCTTCCATCCTTCCGAAGTCAGTAAAATGAGGACCCAGATTGTTAGGGGCAATATGCTGACTCTGAAAACTGCTTAGAGGGCTATAAAGTACTATGAAGTAGTATGTAAGTCTAAATGCTATTGTTAATGCTATCAGTAACTGTAGATTATTTCTGTCCATAGCATCAGTCTATTTCAAACCAGTTTAAGAATTGTTTCTTATACCTGTACCTGTGTGTTTCATGAATTTCCTAATTAGATAACTTTTTAATTACAACAATATTTTGACATTGTTTTAAGATCTTTCAGTGTTCTTTTGGAATCAAAGCAAATGCCACCACAGAATTCGAGGCATCCAGAAAATCCCGTTTTTTAGGTTTGAAAACCATATGGTATGGGTGAGATTAGCACCATGGATACATTTTTATGGATGTAACATTTTCATGGTCTGGTTGTAATGAGAATGTTTAGTTCAAACACAGAGTACAAATTTTCTCCAATACATTTAATGAAGGCAATTAGCTTGGTGACTATTTTTCAAGTTTGTAGAAAAGTTATCATGTAGCATATTAATACTTCTGCTTTCCTGATGTTAGTGAGGACAGAAATTTGTAGGATGATATAGTACATCCAACCTGGGTTTGGTTATAATATTCAATGATAACAACTTTTTACCTCAGTACCAGATAAAGAAGTTATACATTTATGAGACAAATAAATATAACTTCAAAATGTCTATCTGGTTCTAATCGTATAAAAAATAAGTTAGGACCATAACAATATTTTTGTAGTTTCTTGAAAAGAAAGTTTCCTCATGATCCATGTTAATCAACTACTGAACAGCAGGGGAAAGGCTGTAGTTTGATGGAGACTTCATCAAATAGGATTGCAGTTCACAATTATCTGCCATATCTTCCAGATGTCCTATACTCCATGAGCGAAGCAAGCCAACAGCTGGCTGTCCCAAGTGAGCACTCAGTGGCTGACCAAGACTCTGAAGGCAGGGACTGGACAGACAAATTCTTTCTTTCAGTGGTAATTCATTCTGGTTCTGCATAGCTGAGAGAAAGAATACAGGGACCACAGATATTAAATTTGTGCTTCATATAAATTCAAACCTTGTAAACATTTCACTGAACAAGCTTTAATAGCAGGGGTTCACATCTGAAGCCCAAACAGCATGATGGTTTTTCAGAATATGTGATCCCAGACTCAATCTTTCACTACCTAATGAGCTTATAATTGCAAAACAGTGTACAGTGGAGATGATAAAAAAACAATACATATGTTTCCCTATTTTTCCAATCATTTTTCCTGCCCATGATCATCTCAACAGCAGAGGCTATTCCACTATTCTACCTACCCAATCTTTTTTATTCTATTTACTGGTATCTGATCCATGAACAGCCGCCCTGGATTATTTTGACGGTGAGATTTATTTAATAAATAAATATAAAGCTGATTATCTGCTGTTTTCTCCCGTATAGTGTTCATTCTACTGATGGAAGAGAATGTTTATTCTCTCTCTGCAGATTTATAACTTACAATAGCTGCTTGCTGGTAATTCATTCTTTCATCTGGTTTAGAGGATTCCAAAACCTTATAATCAATAAGGGCAACCTCTCCAAAATGTAAGGTTCCCAAATAAACTGGTTCAGTTTTTTGTACTAACAACATCTAAAAATGCTTTGTAAGCAGCTAGCCATAACGACAGGTAAAAGGTTCTGCTTAATAACCTAAACATGGCATGCATTAATTACTCCAAATTACTTTCAAGAGTGAACACAATGCAAAAATTTTCCTAATAATTCACCAGGGTTCCCCCTAAAGTGGTTGCCAGGTCAGATATTTACTTTGCTATTGTTACCTGCTTTGCACCAGCAACAGAAAAGCCATTTAACATAGCGGTATTGGGCCAAGAGGTGTCCCTGATGAGCTGCCCGCTGATAATAGAGGATTGCCTAAAAAGAAATAGCAATTTTAAGAAAAAAAAATTACTACTTACTGAAAAAGCTGCCGTATGCACCTATACATTGCATTCAGACCCCTTCACTTTTCTCAAATTTGTTATGCTGCAGCCTGGTTCTACAGTAGTTGAAATTCATTTTTTCCCATTAATCTACTCTCAGTACCTCATAACGACAAAGTGAAAACAGAATTTTAGAAATGTCTGTAAATTCATTAAAAAGAAAAAAATGAAACATTGGCATAAGCATTCAGATCCTTTGCAACAACACAAAATTTAGCTCAGGTGCCTCCCATTTCTCTTGATTGTTGCTGACATGCTTCTACATCTTGACTGGAATTGACCTGTGGTAAATTTTAAGAATAGATTGGACAACCATTTGTCTGAAATAGTATATTTTCCTGCCTAGCAGGTGTTGGACTAGAAGACCTCCAAGATCCCTTCCAACTCTGTTATAGAGCTGATAGATATATGATAGATAGGACATTGAAAAATATTTTGCAGGGCTGCTTTATGTTAATGAGGAATCTTAAAAGAAATTTAAGATGAAGACTTTCTAAGGTAAAGTTAATTAATCCATAGCAGGGTGTCAAACTCGCGGTGTCACAACACCATGTGACATATCAGAACTGTTTTCCCCTTCACTAAAATGGGGGTTGGCATGGCCAGCATGTGACGCATCCGGGCTGCGGGCCGCGAGTTTGACACCCCTGATCGATACTTCAAAATACTTTTGCAGTTCTTTTTTTTAAAAAAACAAATTTTATTAATGTTTAAGAAACAATACACAAACAAACTAAACGTAGAATGTAATAACATAAGGCATCTTTTCTAAAAAAAAAAAAACAATAAAACATCTTATTTAAAGACAGAATAATTCCAAATTTTCACATTTCCATACAAACACAATTTACTATATATATTCATCTTATCTATTCAACTTCATATCTTATCCCAACTTCTCTTTATTTCTCCCTTTCCTTCTACTATTCAATTATATTTCTTTTGCCTTAGATTATATATATATATTCTTTATATCCATCTGTCTTATTTACAATTTCATTATTCTCTTCCAATGTTCTTCTTACATTCTTCTAAAATTTGATTAATTCAGACATAGACAAACAAAACACAAAACATAAATACATAAAACTTCTTTTTGGAAAGCGGCTTACCCCGGGTTACCTCTTTTTGTACAGACATAAATCAGATTCATGCTCACTTAATATACTATTTCATATCTTATTTGGCATTCTGTATTTTCTATATATTTTCTCTCCTCTATTCACCCTCTTAATTCTATTATATTTATTTCATCTCAATTTAAATAATTATACTTGTATCCTTTGTCCGTTCTCTTTCAATCATCTACTTATCTTTTCTTTCTAATACAATATTTCTCCTGTAATCACTGGTTGAAGCATGACAACTTTCTATCTTTCCCCTAAGTTTAACACTTGGAATAATACATACTTTCCACACTGATCTTGCTTAGTACATTCTAAGTACTACATTTTAGAATAACAAAACAAAAATAGAAAAGGAATTGAGTTTATAATATAATAAAAACAATATTCCATAAAATATTAAACTCTATTATTAACTCTTAAACATTTTATACATTCCCTTTAATGCATTATTAACTCATATAAATTCAATTTTCTAACTCAATTTCAAATACTAATATCTACAATATAATCTTATGTACTTTTGCAAAATCATATATTTTTTTAATAACTTTTACCCTTTATCTCTGAAAAAAAATTGTTTTTTAGCATCTTGTTTTAAACCTTTATGACTTCTCTTTCCTTTTCCCCTTCCTTTCTTATCAATTCTAATCTGTTTGCCCCCCATCTCTCAAATTCCACTCTCTTAATCTTCTCTCTCTGTTGTATTTCTCTTTTCTGTTGCTTTCTGACATTGTATCGATTTTTCATCTTATTTTTCCCTTTCTTGGTTGCTTTTTTAAGTTCTGAATTCTCCATTTTCACTCCCCCCTTTTTCTTTTCCTCAACTATGATTTTTTGTCCATTAAAGATGGCTTCTTCTTCTTCATCCCAGTGCTTTTGTTGTTGTATTTCTTGGTAAGTAAAAATCGTCATTTCCAAAAAGTGAAAAATAGATCCAGAAGAGCCCTTGCCTTTTTGCTCTTCTTGTAACTTTTGATATTCCATTTGTAGTTCTTCCATAGATAGTGCCATTTTCTATTTTTTTTTAAAATCAACCCAAATGTTTTTAGTCTTTCAAAAAATAGTTGCCCAAAGATCCCAAAGTCACAAAGCAGTCCAAATCAGAACAAACTGTTTCATCAACACTTTCTTCTTCTTCTTCTTTGTTTAATTTCTCTTCCTGGGGTAAAGTTCAATTACAATTTCAAAATGATTTTTTGGAAGCCTTATTGCCACTTATTTCTAAGTCTTATAAACTCCAAGCAGTCTTCTTCAATGGAATCTTAGAATAAGTTTTTTTACCTCTTCCTTCCCACTTATAGCAGTAAAATTTAATTTTAAATTCCAATGTTCCAAAACCTTTTATCCCCTTGGTTTTAATTTTTAGGTTTATTTACCTTCTATGCCCAAGTAGGTTTTTCAGATTTCCATCAGCTATTTCCGTAGGGAAGGAGAGTGAGAAAAAAATAACTTTCCCTTTCAAAACTTTCTTCCGCCGCTTGCAATCTTTCTGGGAAACAGTGTAGCAGTCAAAAAATCAAATTTCCAGGTTTTTGCAGGTTCCTCATTGTCCTGATTCAGCCAAAGAAAAACTTTCACTTTCTTCCTCCTGCACAATCTTGTCCAGCTGCAGGCTTCTTTGTGGCGGCCATTGCTGACCGCCGCTCCACCACCTTGGGAAAAGGGGGTTTAGCCGGCTGGAGAGGGGGTCTGCGACACCCCCAAACCCCTGTCCGGATTCCCCCTATCTTCAGCTGCCTCTATGGGGCAGCTATATCCTCCAAATCCGTCTGGATCGGAGGCACCAAGGCAGCGAGCGCAGCAGGAACTGCGCGGAATCGCGGATCCCTGCCGCCGCCGAACCCTGGCAAACCGGAAGTCCACTTTTGCAGTTCTTAAGACTCAATCTTAATACTGAAAAGTATACTATTCATGCACTATTGAATGCATGAAAAGTACAAGGAAAAGCATCGAAGAAAAAAGCCTTAATTCCCCAATTGAAATTTCCTTGTCCAATCCACTTTGCATGTCACTTTAACTCTCCAATGTCATAAAAATCTAAATCATTGCATTAGGAATGACTTACCCTCGTTCTGTCTCCCGAGTTCATATTTATTTATTTATTAGATTTATAATCTTACTTTTTGTACAGAAGCTCTCAGCCATTAAATAGTGTTTCCACCTCTTATTTTTCCTCATAACAAAAATTTGTGAAGTACATTGGATTGAGAGAGAATGATGGGCTAAAGTCAGCCAAGATTATATATGTTCCAAAATATTTTCCCCACTATTCATGTTCTTGGGTGAAAAAACTCTTTCCATTGCCTCCAGTGGAAGCTTTTACAAATATAATTGCAACACAAAATGTTTTCCTTATCCAGATGTAATCTCACACAATAAAAGTAATTACTGTGTAGCAATCTATACTTGTCAAGAGAAGTTTAAAAAACTGGTATTTGATGGGGCAAGGCAAAGTGGGTAACACAAGGTGGGTAACAACACCCTTGCCAATAACATTTCAAGAAATAGACCCAGCAGTTGCCAGAAACCAAGACTGACTTGACACACAATCTACTTCAGAAGACAAGGATAAGTCAAAGAAGGAATTTATCTGATTTTCAACAGCCTTTAAAGCTGCTGGCCTGCAACATAGTATCACAGCATATCCTTTCCTTGTATTTTTTTTAAACAAGTTTTATTGATTTTACAAACAAACAAACAAAACAAAACATCATTAAACATTAAAAACATAAAACCTCTTTCCATTGTAAATCTTTACAAGGCACGTAACATATTGTTCTATATCACGTACTTATAATTTATCCCATTTCCATATAAACACGTAAATTCTCTTTACCAAATTCCACATTGTTTCTCTTTAATCATTATTCAATCATATTTCCTTTCTAATTTATCTGCTATTCAATCATCACATTTATATTTTCCTCTGGCTTGTTTATAATTATTCTCATCTAGTCTTCCTCCGAGATTTTATTATTTAATTCTTAATTAAACACACACACATAAGACATAAACATAAAAACATAAAACTTTCTTCTAGAAAGTAACTTGGCCCCAGATTACCTCTTTTTGTATGGACTTCAATTGAATTCATGCTCTTCTTATATACCATTACCTATCTTGTTTACCATTCTATATCTATTATATAACTCCTCTCCACTTTTGCCTCATCTTAATTCTGTTTTATATATGTAATCTTGCTTTAAAGAAAAATATTTTTATATCTTTTGTCCATTTCTCCATTTACATCTGTCTCATTTCCAATTTAAAAAAGAATAGTTTCCCCTGGAATCACTAATCGGAGTGTGATGCCTTTCTATCATTCCCCTAAATTAAAATTTAAAATAACACCTAAATCCCAATCAGATTCTGCTTAGTACATTCTACTATTTCAGAAACCAATACTACAATAATAAATCCATAACAGTCAACACATTAATCCATTAAACTCTATATTTAAACTAATATTTTAAACATTCCCTTTAGTATTTTATTAAAACTTAATATCATTCATTATTAAACATTTTAAAGTTATACCTTGATATTTTAGTCTTTTATTAGATCTTAAAAAGTTCTGATTATCTACTTATAATACAAATACCACTATTACAATACTCATGTGTACTTTGCAGAATCCCTTTTTTTAAAAAAAAACCCATACATTACCCATTATCCCTAAAAAAAATTTTCTTTTCTCCATCTTGTTTTATACCTTTGTAACTTTTTTTCCCCTTTCCCCTTTCCTTCTTAGCCCGCCTAAACTTTTTACCCCCTCCTCTCCAAACCTCTGCCTTCTTGGTTTCCCCTTTCTATTGCATTCCTCTTTCCTTTTGCTTTCTAGCATACTGTTGTTTTTGCATCTTCTTTTTCTCTTTCATAAATATTTTTTTATTTCTTAAGTCCTTCCTTTTCGCTCCTCTCTTTCTCCTTTCTTTCTTAGTCACACCGTTTAGTTAATTAAAAATGGCTTCTTCTTCCTCGGCTTCTTCCAGCTGTTGTTTAATTTGCTGACACATGACAAGCGCCATATCTAGGAAACAAAGGGCTTCTCCCATAACATCTTTGCCTTCTTTCCTTATTTTTAAATATTGTTTTTTTAGTTCATCAAGAGATAGAGCCATTTTGAACTGTTTCTTCTTCTCTTTCTGTATCCTCTTCTTATTAAGCCAATCAGTTATTTCCAAACTTAAAACAGTTCCCAAAAGTCCCAAAATCCCGCAGTCATCAAACAGTCCAGGCAGAGTACAAGCTTCTTCTTTTTACAATTTCTCTTCTAGAGGTGAAGTCAAATTAGGGAAAGAAAAAACGTCCAATCTGTGCTTTAAATCTTTTTTAGAATTAATTTCTATTCTCTTTATCTTCAAGGCATCTCCTCCAGCAAAGTCTTAGAGTAAAAAATTTTTTCCCCCAAGCCTCTCCCTTCCCACTTATAACAAAGGAGTTTAGGTTTTACCTTCTATCAAAAGGCTGGTTTCCCTTGTCCATTTGTTAATTCCATAAGGGAGGGAGAGTAACTTCCCCTTTTCGTCACTTTTCTTCGCAGCTGAAAACATCAATCGGGAACATTGTAGCGTCCAAGCCAATACTTTCCCAGGTGTTAAATATGTCCTTAAGGTCCCAGTTCGACCAAGAAAAAACTTTCGTTTTAAAACTCCTTCTTCTTCCTCCTGCATTCTTTATCCAGTTGCCGGCTTCTTTATGGCGGCCATAAAGACCGCCGCTCCACCATCTTGAGAGAAGGGGGTTATTGCCGGCTGGGGTGGGGGTTGCGATACCCCTCAACCCCTGTCCAGATCCCCCCTTTCTTCAGCTGCCCCAACAGGGCAGCCTTAGTCTCCAAATCCGTCAGGATCGGAGGCACCAAGGCGGCTAGCACAGCAGGGATCGCAGAGAAAGCGAATCCCTGCTGTCACCGAAGCCGACAAACCGGAAGTGACCTTTTCCTTGTATTTATGATAGGCAGGCTATCTCCTAGATTGAAGCCAATAACTCATCAGAAACAAATACATATGAACTCACACTAATATAGAAGTGGTACCTTTGGCTGTCTTTCCTTTCTTAATATGCAGAGTTGTACAATTGTTTTGCACACTTTCATAACACTTTCCACCAAAGATATTTTTTCAGCAGTGAAGAAGCAACAAGATAGGAAAAAGCAAAAGGCAACTACTGAACTTGTCTCTATGTTCCAGGACACACTAGGCACTTAATAAATAATAAATGATTCCCTCTCCCTCAATTTTCTACATAAAGAGAGAACACAGGCTGAATAAAACAAATGGGACTGGAAAACCTTAGTCATGTCCTTTGTGGTGCCTCTTCCATATTCATAGCATAATCCTACATTGTATTGAGCTTTGCTATAGTTGTGATCTGCAGCCAGTTTGAAACAGGAAAAAGCCATTTGGTACTGTTCAGCTTGCATGTTTTCAAGTCCTGAGAAAACAATATATATTAGTAAAAAATTCAGGCATTCATAAGTACTTTAAATAAACATACAATCATTCTGTCTCATTTATAAGTAACTTCCAATCTAATTTGGAAGCTTTTCTGTAGTTGTTAAATGTAATTGCACCAAATTCAGCTACGCTGTCAAATTCAATCTTCTACAAGTAGTCCTCAACTTACTACAACTGAGTCCAAAATTTCTGTTGTTAAGTAAGACATTTACTTAAGTATTGTTAAGTGAGTTTTATGACCTTTCTTGCCACAATTGTTAAGTGAATCACTGCAGTTGAATAGTTAGTAAACCAGTTGTTACATGAATCTGGCTTCCCCACTGATTTTATCAAGTCACAAAAGATGATTACATGACCTTGGGCCACAGCAATGGTCATAAATATAAATCAGTTGCCAAGTATCTGAATTTTGATCACGTGATCATGGGGATGCTGCAATGGTCATAACTATGAAAAACGGTCATAGATCAATTTTTTCAGTGCCACTGTAACTTTGAACAATCCCTAAATAGAGGACTACTTCTATTGGATCCTTCCAAGTATACATCAAAAAATATTTGCTATTCCAGTTTTACAAATTAACGTTCAGTGAGCTAACATACTGACTTTCAAAAGTGGACTTTCAAATAGTCAAGAAAGTTAAATATTTGGGAATATACTTAACAGCAAGATGTGCAATGATAAAAGAAGATAACTACATAAAATTATTTAACCAAGTAAAACTGGATCTGGAAAAACTATATCTATCAATGTTAGGAAGAATTGCTACTGGGAAAATAAATATTCTACCAAAACTGCTTTACCTGTAAAAATTGTACCTATAAAAATTGAGAAGAAATTCTTGAAATTGAAAGTCTTGATCTTGAAATTTATTTGGCAAGGAAAAGAAGCTAGAATTAAATTGAAAATTACAAGACTTCAAAGAAAATGAAGGGTTTGGATTACCAGATTGGCTTTTTTACTATCAAACATGTGTTCTAATATGGCTAAAAAAATGAATAACACTTAGACACAAAAGATTACTATATTTAGAAGGATATGACTTACAGCTTGGATGGCATGCATTTTTATGGTAGGAAAAGAATAAAAGCCATAGGTATTTCCAAAATCACTACATACGAAACTCATTATTGTTTGTGTGGGAAAAAATAACAGCCAAAATCTTCTTGCAAATCTCAGGATGGCTCTCAGTGATGGAAGCATTTATTCATCCAAATCTGGTGACGTTTGAGAAAATTCTGACATATAAAGATAATTTGAATACTGACTTTGTTTTGAGCTTCCCCAAAGACAGACCGCTGACTGTGATCGTGCGCAGCTTTGGTTCGTGCTTCGGCGTCGGAGAGCCCCAATCCTTTGGATTCGGGGCAGAAGCTACCTCATAGGGATGGCGGAGGAAGGGGAGACCATCAGCTGGGTAAAGGGGAGTCGCAACTCCCCTCCCCAGCTTGGCAATTGCTCCCTCCCAAAGACGCCTGAAGCGTACAGTGTTAACCAATTAGCTAGGTTTAATGCTGACCCAACTGAAAGGCACTGGCAAGCTGCTAAGTGTGTGTTAAGATATCTGAAACAAACAATGCATTATGCATTGTATTTGGAGCCTAAAAATGAACTACGTCTAACTGCATATGCTGATGCAAGTTTTGCTACAGATATAAATACACATGAATCTACATCAGGTACTGTAGTATTATTAGGAAAGGCATTGATTGGATGGAGGTCTATTCGACAGAAGTTTGTCAACAATGGAGGCTGAATTTTCATGTTTGTCTCTATTATGTACAGATTTAGTTTGTTATAAGCAACTATTGATTGATATAGGAATTGATGTAACAGATTCTATTGTTGTTTATGAAGACAACCAATCAGCAATACAGATGGCTTCCAATCTTGCTGTAAAGACAAGATCAAAACACACAGATCTAAGATATCTTAATGTGAGACAATGCGTACAAAGTAAAATGATTAAACTGGAGTACTGCATGTCAGAAAATAACATTTCAGATCATTTTACAAAAGCCCAAGTCTCTGTAAAACATAAGGCTTGCTGTGAAGGATATGGACTTAAACTGTAAGGTGTTATATATTGTCCTACCCGAAGGGGAGAATGTTAGGAATTGCTAGTCACCTAACAGTTGGGTTGGAAATATATAAACCAGGATAGACATTTAATACTGTCTCTTTAAGAGAATGCTAAAATTGTAATTGGGTGTGGTTCCTCAAACGGCCATAAGATGGAGCCAAAAACCTGGGTTGTTAGTCTCAGAAGAGAGTCTCAGTGAAGTGAGTGAGTCTCTGTTTCCTTCTGTTGGAGAAAGTTGCCGTTCCTCCTAATGACTGTTACTGATCGTTGATGTAAGTCTGTTACTGAACTGTTTTTTGATACTGGACTTTGATATTTGGATTATCCCTGAACTGAACACCTACATTTTACTATTCAGTGTATGTGCTTCAGTGTCGTGGCGAGGGGAGTGTGTGTGTGTGCTCGCCCCGAGGCCGCTTCTACCAGCCGATCGAAGTGGCTGGTGACTGCACTTGGGGAGCTTCCATCGCCCAAAAGAGACTGCCTAATGGCGAGGGGACACGGGCAGCCACACCTCACCCCGAAGCAGCTGGGGACTCTGCCTTCGGGGAGCTTTCATCGGCCAATAGAACCGGCCTCTCGGCGAGGGGAGTGCATATGGGCCGCTCTAGGTGGGGGAGGAAATTAAGTCACCCCCGAAAAGATGGCCTAGCCGTTTTTTCGGGGGTCAAAAAAGGCCCGGCCTTATTTAGTGAGAAACACGGCAGTATAATTAGGATTTATATATTTAGAATAATACCTATGTTAATGGCATATTAAGCATCAATTTTATTATACTGTATATTGTATGTCATATCATATTTGTTAGAGTGTACACGAATGGAAATTAATTATTGAAACATTGAATAAGATATATAGAAATAGAATATTGTTTATATAGTTCTATTATATATTACTCTGAAATAGAAATTGGTCTTTTGAGAGATAGTGAATAATATAACATTGATAACACAAAAAGAAACAGAAACAGAATACCAGTGATTTAATACAATCTAATATATTGGATATTAAAGAAACAAGAAGGAATGATAAGATTTAATATTACTAATTATAAATGATTGTATGATAATTTGAGAAAGCATTTATAAAATTCTAGGAGACAAAAAACATTCTGAAAGGAATGACTAGCATAATGACAACCACTTTGAGGGCAGGGAAGAAAACATCCTCAAACCCATCAGTAGTGACAGCATTTCCATCAACCCAAAGATCAATACATGGGATGCTAAATGCAGAAAAATCAAATCAACCCAAAATACATCAACAATGCAATGGAAAAAGAACTAAAACTATTGTCAATAAATGTAAATGGGTTAAATGCTGTAATCAAGAGAAAGCAAATACTGTCAAAACTGGTTAAGCAAAACATAGATATTGTGTGCCTCCAAGAGGTACATATCAAGAATCAAGATAAAAAATACTTAGAATTCAATAATCTGGGGAAACTCCATACTGCATTGGAGGGGGTGGTGGTGATGTTATACATTAGGGAAGAAATAGAAGCAAAGCAAATTTACGCAGACATCAAAGGAAGAATATTAATATTGGAAATAAAGATAGAACAAAGACAGATGCTACTAGTAAATATTTACACACCTAATAAAAACCAAAAAGAATTTTACAAATACTCCATGAAAAAATAGTTGATAGGTCAAAAAGATATATGCATAGTCGGAGACTATAATGGAATAGTAGAGACTACAAAAGACTACATCTGTGATAATACAAATTTTTAAAAAAGGAATATACTACCACAAACATTTTTTATATGTCAGAGGAATTGAATCTAATTGATGTATGGAGAACATTAAATCCCACAGAACAAAAATTTACATTTTACTCGAACCCACATAAATCATACTCAAGGATTGACATGGTATGGACAAATATTGATTTAAGTAAATAGAGAAAATTGAAATTCCCCCAAACACCTGGGCTAACCACAACCCCATTAAAGTAAGTTGGAGAGGTCAGAAAAAGAAAAGAAAAAGATGGACATTGAACCCCCGGATACTATTAGGAGAAGAATTTATTTAAAAGGTCTCAAACAAATTGACACTATTTTTCAATATAAACAAAAAATTTATAATTGCAAACCCTATGGGATATGATGAAAGCATACACCAGGGGGATAATAATATGGCAAAAAGGAAGGAGAAATGGGGGAAACAAAATACATTACAACTAGAAATTGGAGATCTAGAAAAACAAATGCAAAAAAATCCAGGGAGCGATCAAATTAAAGAACAATTGAATTTGGCCAAACACAAATTAAATATATTACAACAGGAAGACATTGCAAGGGATCTTAAATTTATGAAGCAAAATTATTTTGAAAATGCAAACAAGCCAGGGAGATGGCTGGCCTATACATTGAAAAAAGAATAATATACCAGCTTCAAGATGAATTAGGAATATTACAAAATAATGAAGAAGAGAAAAAAAGGATTGCCCTAAAATACTTTGAAGATCTCTATAGTCAAACAATAATAGCAACAAAGAAAATAGATCAGTATTTTTAAAAAGATAGTATGTCACTAATTGAGGAAGAAAAAAGGAATATATTAAATAGAAAAATTACATTAACAGAAGGAAGCAATCCAAAAACAAAAGGCAAATAAGACCCTGGGCCAGATGGTTTACCAGGAGAATTATATCAAACATTAGGGGAATCATTGGAACCAGTACTACTGGAGGTATGCAACGAGGCTTTGTTAAATGCAAAAATACCTGAATCATGGAGGGACTCATACATTACCTTGATTTCGAAAGAAGGTACCAATGTTAATCAAGTCAAAAATTATACACCAATCTTGCTCTTGAATGCCAACTACAAAATTTTTATGAGTATTATGGCAGGAAGGACGAAGAAGATTTTAAATGAGATTATACATAATGATCAAAATGGATTTCTGCAGCAAAGACAAATAAGAGATAATGTTAGAATAGCAATGAATGTATTAGAATATTACAAAATACAATCAGGAAAACAAGTGGCCCTTGTTTTTCTGGCTGCACAAAAAGCATTCGATAATTTAAATTGGGAATTTATCAAATTAGGGAAATGAAATTTGGAGATAGATTTGAAAAATTAATAGAAACAGTTTATTCTTCCCAAAGGGCCAATGTAATAATAAATGGAGATATAATGAAGGCATTTAGAATAACAAAAGGAGTTTGCCAGGGATGCCCATTGTCACCTCTGCTCTTTATTTTGACATTAGAGACACTATTAATAAAAATTAGGAAAAACTCAGAAATACAGGGAACAAAAATTTAAAAAGAGGAGTATAAATTACAAGCATTCGCAGATGATTTGGGTTTTTTTAATTGAGGAGCCACTAGAATCAGGTCCAATTCTGATAGATGAATTAGAAAAATATGGAGGTCGCAGGAGTCAAAATTAACAGAGACAAAACCAAAATGCTAGTGAAAAACATAATATCTAAAAATAAAAAGGAGTTAGAAAACGTAATGGGACTACAAATTACCAAAAAAAAAAAAATATCTAGGAATATGGTTAATGGCAAAATGCTCCTCAATAAAAGAAGACAATTATATGAAATTACTTAATCAAATTTAAAAAGATTTGGAAAAATGGGGGACTATTAGGAAAAATAGCAACTAAATAAATGAATGTTTTGCCAAAGCTTTTATATTTATTTCAAACAACCCCAACAAAATTAGATAAGATTTTTTTAAAGAATTAAACAGAACAATCACAAAATTTGTTTGGGCAGGTAAGAAAGCGCGAATAAAGCTAAAAGATTTACAGGATAGTAAGAGCAGAGGTGGCGTTGGGCTCCCAGATTGGGAACTATACCATAAGGCAGCAATACTTGTATGGATACGAGATTGGATTAATCTAAGAAACAAAAGAATATTAACCATAGAAGGGCATGATATACAAAGAGGGTGCAGATAGATTGAGGAAAAAATTCCACAGCTGACATCCTGATGCCTTCCTGTGGGATAAAGAAAGCAAACCATATCTATACTTCTATAGACATAAAATAAGAGATGTGCTGATACAATCATGGAGACAAATAAAGAATAAATATTTGAAAATTCCAAACTGGGTATCTCCCTTGGAAGCAGTAATCCACCCTAATATAACAGAGGTTAAGAAAATGGCCAGGTATAGGAAATTTTATATAAACAAGAGAGTCTAAAGAATAGACAGAAATTGGAAGAACAGGGAATAAAATTGGACTGGTGGACTTATATGCAAATACAAACAAGATATAAAAAAGACAGTGAGGAATTTGGAATAGACAATGAATTACAAAAACTAGATAAAATTTTGATTGGCCCAGATGAGAAATTATTATCAAAGATATATAAACATTTATTAGAATTTGACAGAGCAGAAGAAATTGTGAAAGGAACAATGAATGCATGGGGTAGAAATTTTGGACATACTATTGATTTGGAAGAGTGGGAAAAGATTTGGAATATGAATTAAAAAATAACAAAATTGGCAGCTTATGCGGAAAATCAACATAAAATGTTCTATTGTTAGTATATGGCACCTACAAGATTGGCTAAGATCTATCCAAATTTAAAACCAAATTGCTGGAAGTGTGTATAACAACAAGGTACCTTCTTTCATTCTTGGTGGACATGACCCGAAGCGAAAAATATTGGAAAGTGATTCAACTGTGGTTAACTGAAAACAAAAATGATTTTGTCCCGGAATTATTCCTCTTAGGAATAATAAAAAGAAACTCTAACAGAAAGATAAAATATCTTATATTACATGCATTAACAGCAAGAATTTCCTATGCCCAGTACTGGAAGAAAAATTCCACACCACCTGAAGGTTTAATAATTAAAAAGTCTTTCGAGTTCCGGTCTGCAGCGCTTCGGGGCAGGTAGGAATCCGCGACTGTGCATGGTTTCTGCCTGCGCTCGCTGCCGGAGTGCCCTGAGCCACCTGGCTTCAGGGCTAGCCACCTCTGTAGAAGGTGGCGAAGACAGGGGGGACCTGGCAGGGTCGAGAGATATCGCACCACTCTTCTCTAGCCGGCTAAACCCCCTTTTCCGAAGGCAGCTGAGCAGCAGTCAGAAATGGACGCCACATAGAAGTGCTCAGCCAGAAAAAGAAAGTGCAGGAGGAGTCGACAAGAAGTGAAAGTTTTTTGCTGACCAGGACAAAGCAATAACGAAAGTACCCTGGAACTTAAAATTTGTGAAAGACACATCATTTCTAGAGATTTGCAAGCGGCGAATGGAAGTTAAAAGGGAAAGTTTTTCTTTTTTTTCACTCTCCTTCCTAACGTGACAGCGAATGGAAATGCAAGAGAAATCGGAAAAACCCACATTGGCACTAATAGGTAATTAAATGCTAAAGGGATAAGGATTTCTGAATATTTAAAAAAAATCTTTTTTGCTGTAAGTGGGAAGGGAGAGGAAAAGAATTGGAGCAGGATTTGAAAGTAAGGAGGAGATTGCCTAGAATCTCAAAGAATTATTAAATACTAACAAGACTTCTAAAAGATACATTTTAACTGGAACTTTGTAACTAAACAGTAACCCCAGAAAGAGAAAGTGAAGAAAGAAGAAAGTGCTAAAAGAAACAGCTTATTTGGATTGTTTGGTGACTTTGGGACTTTTGGGGATTATTTTTGACTAAGAACACTTGGGTGGTTGTTTTGGAAAAACTTTTTCTTTCTACAATGGCATCACTTGTGGATGAATTGAAAATTGAATACAAAAAATACAAAGAAGAAGAACAAGAAGGGAAAGACTCTCTTGGTACTCTCTTTCAATTTTTAGAAATGGCGATTTGCACCTATGAGAAACTGACTGCGCAACAAAATGATTGAGACAAAGAAGAAGCCATCTTTGATGAACAAGTAACTTTATTTGGGGAAGAAAGGGAGAAAGAGGAAAAGAAAAAGGGGACTTTACTTGAAAAAACAACCAAAAAAGAGAAAAATAAGGTGAAAAGTGGATATAATCTTGGAAAACAACAGAAAGGGGGAAAGCAGAAGAAGAAAAGGGAGGTGGAGAGACAAGGGGGTAAAAAGGGCAGGGAGAAGAACAAGCAAGGGAGGAAGGAAGGGATGAGAAGCCTTAATGGTGGGGAGCAAGATGTAAAGAAACAAGATTCATTTAGAGATAAAGGGTAAATTTAATTGAAAAAGGGATTCTGCAAAGGTACATAAGATTTTATTCTTATATTGGTACTTAGAAATATTGTTAGAAAATTGGAAACAACGTGATCAAAAATGGGATAAAATATTTAGTGTAACTTAGTGAAATTTTTGTGAATAAAAAGGAGGCAATGAAATAAATAAGAGAATTGAAGCAAGAGGGAATGGGAACATTTTAATGATACAATGATTTAAATACAATGATTTAAAAATATGTGATGTGGGGGGGAAATAATTATGGAAGGTATAAGTGTTCCCATAAAAGTATGATATTCAATTGAAAAGTGATGTGTAAAATGTTTAAGATATAAATGAATATTAATATTAATGATTAGATTTGTATTGGCATTGATATTTGTTTTAATTATATTATATACTTATAAATTTTTTCTTCTTATAAAATATAATGTGTAATTTTAGAATGTACTAAACAGAATCCCAATGGAAGTCATGTATTATATTAAGTATTATAAATTTAGGAGAAAGAGTCAAAGGCGTCACACTCCAATCAGTGTACAGGAGAAGTTTTGTATAAAGAGAAAAGAGAAATAGATAGCTGGAAACAGAACAGACAAAGAATAATAAATATTATGATCTGAACTGAGATGAGATGAATAAAATAAAACTAGGAAAGTTAAAAGAGGTGAGAAGCTATATAGAAAATGGAAACTGGTAATAAGATATGGAATGGTATATAAAATGAACATGAATTTGAATTTGTGTCTGTATGAAGAGATGTAACCCAGGATCAAGCAGCTTTCAGAAAAGATGTTTTATGTTTTATGTTTTGTTTGTTTGTGTGTTGTCTTTGAAAATCAATAAAATTTGTTTTTTTTTAAAAATAATAATTAAAAAGTCTTCGAGTGCATGGAAATGGATAAATTAACTATGGAACTAAAAGGGAAAGCAAACACAGAATACAATGCAATATGGGAAACATGGTATATCTGGATTGACAATAGACATAATAGAAAATGTACATAATGTACATAATAGATATGAGGGTATGGAAGTAGTGTGTATTGAAAATTTGGATAGGACACATAAATGTGTGTGTGTGTGTGTGTGTGTGTGTGTGTGTGTGTGTATATATATATAAATGTTGTGATTGGAAGGATCGGTCCTGTTAAGAGTTTTAAATCTGATGACTGTTAGATCGTGGATTGACGTCAGAACCAGGAAACGTTAATCTGAAGGGCAAGCCAGTTAATTAGCACGTTGCCTTAATGGGTATAAAAGGACACAGCTGAGCTGGTGCCTTTTGCCAGAAACAAAATGACTATTTTGAATGAGGACGTTACTGCAAAGAGATCTCTGTTTGTTTGAATTTTGAAGGGGAGTTCTAACCGTTTCTGCCAGTCGTTATCTTGTTATTTTCCTTCAGTTTGATTTGATTGTGAAACGGCTGCTTTATGTTTGTTCGTTTGAATCTCCAAGGGGAGACATAACATATAAATGTATATATGTCACAGCACTGTTTAATAAGTAATGGTACTATGTATAAATGAAAAAACCCAATAAAGCATTAAAAAAAGTAGAGTAAGAAATTAAAGGATATTGTAATAATGATATATTGTAATATATCATTCTGAATAAGTTATAATATGAATATAATCTAGTAAGAGTTGGGATTTGGAGAACTACCAGAGGACTGGAAAAGAACTGATGTGGTTCCCATCTTCAAAAAAAGAAAAAAAACAGACCCAGGAAACTACAGACCAATCAGTCTAACATCAATACCTGAAAAGATACTGGAAAAGATAACAAAAAAACAGATCTGCCAACATCTAGAAATAAGTAAAGTAATAACTAGCAGTCAGCATGGGTTTGTTAAAAACAGACCATGCCAAACCAATCTTATTTCATTCTTCAACATAGTGACTAAATTAGTAGACCAGCAAAATACTCTGGACATAATATACTTAGATTTCAGCAAGGCAGTCAACAAAGTAGACCACAACCTACTTCTTGGTAAACTAGAAAAAAGTGGGATAGGTAGCACCACCTGATGGATTTGCAACTGGCTGACAAACCGTACTCAACAAGTAGTCCTTAATAGGTCTACATGGAGGGAAGTAAGCAGTGGGGTGCCACAAGGTTCCATCTTAGGCTCAGTACTATTCAATATCTTCATAAACGACTTAGATGAGTGAATAGAAGGGGAACTTACCAAATTTGCAGATGATACTAAGTTGGCAGGAATAGCTAACACCCTAGAAAATAGGCTCAAGATCCATCTGGATCTTGACAGACTTAAACACAGGGCTCTATCTAACAAAATGAAATTCAATGTAGAGAAAAGTAAAGTCCTACACTTAGGCAAGAAAAACCAAAAGTACACATATAGACTGGATGAAACCAGGCTTAATAGCAGTAACTGTGAGAGGGATCTTGGAGCACTAAGACTAGCTGGTTAGCTTGTTGTCCACTAACCAGCTAAATATGAGCCAGCAGTGTGCAGCAGCAGCCAAAAAAGCTAATGAGATCCTAAGTTGCATTAACAGAGGGATACAATCAATATCAAGTAAGGTACTAATACCACTCTTATAAAGCCTTAGTAAGACCACATCTAGAGTACTGCATCCAGTTTTGGTCACCAAACTATAAAAAAGATGTTGAGACTCTAGAAAAAGTACAGAGAAGAGCAACCAGGATGATTAGGGGACTGGAGACTAAAACATATGAAGAACGGTTACAAGAACTGGGCATGGCTAGTCTAGTGAAGAGAAGGACCAGGGGAGACATCATAGCAGTGTTCCAATATTTGACGTGCTGCCACACAGAGGAAGGGATCAAGCTATTTTCTAAAGCATCTGAAGGTTACACAAGGAATAATGGATGGAAACTGAACAAGGAGAGATTTAACCTGGAAATAAGGAGAAACTTTCTGACAGTGAGAACAATCAACCCATGGAACAGCTTGCCCTTGGAAGTTGGGGAACGCCATCACTTGAGACTTTCAAGAAGAGATTGGACTCCCACCTGTCAGAAATGGTGTAGGGTCTCCTGCTTGAGCAGGAGGTTGGACTAGATGACCTACAAGGTCCCTTCATTATCTGTTATCTGTTAACTAATCAAGGAGAGGAGCAACCTAGAACTAAGGAGAAATTTCCTGACAGTTAGAACAATTAATCAGTGGAACAACTTGCCTCCAGAAGTTGTAAATGCTCCAACACTGGAAGTTTTTAAGAAGAGATTGGATAACAGTTTGTTACCTGGAATTTCAGAGGAAAAACAGAAACATTTCCACTGAGTACATGTGTGATTGTCCAAAATAAATTCTGTATTACAAAATAGTTTCCTTCAAGATGTCTAATTGCAGCCTCTTGTAAGCTATTGATCAAAGCAAGTATGTACTCAAAGGAGGGGAAAGAAAAAAAAGTGACTATAAACAAATAGATTTGAAAAAAAGTTAAGGACAACTAGATTTGGGGAAAAATGTAGCAGGCTAAGATTGAAACTTGAGATTAAATATATTATATATCTGTAACTATGAGACTGGTGGGAAAGATTATTTGACTATCTGAGATACAGCATCATCAATATGAAAATTATGCCAAGTTGAGAATATTCACCCATCTTCCATTAGTTGTCATTTATGCCTGTCCCTGGAATAAGAGGCATTGACAACAGTCACTGTTGCCACATCCCAAATTGACCAATATACAGTAACACTAATACTTTGGAAGTTATATTTGCTAACTATTTGTTTCATGATGTTAGTAATAACTTATGGAATCCAACATGGAATCTGGATATTTGTAGGATCATTTATTCCAAAGCAGTATCTGTTCACCCAAATTGTGCTGGGAGAGGAACTATGCTAACAATTCCATGTATGAGCCATCCAGGAAAAGGATACACATATCCATTATTATTGAGAAATGAGGGGGAAAGAAGGTAATAAATGACTAGAAAAGAACAAATACAATAGTTGTAATGGAAATTACAAACTAAATTCTCTAAGAAAGGTCTAATAAGATCAAGAGAGACACACACTGCCTTACAAGGTTCAGACAGAAGTCATTGCCAAGGAGATCAATGCCATTTCCATCCCATTACTGGATTTGAATTCTGAGTTACAGGAATCCAGATGATCCATTTTTTCTAGGAGCTTATGTAGCTGGGCTGCCACTACCTTCTAAATGACTTTCTTTAAAAAGAGAAGGTTGGAGACAAAATAAAAAATTGTCAAAAATATGAGTCAGTGGACAACATTGTTTTAAAACACACTGTGTCACAGGACATTTTTTTGTCAAAGTAAGTGCTTACAGTTTCCCTAATCTAGCCACTCAGTCTACCTACATAACTATCTGAAGAAGCCAGGAAGATCAATTCCACAGGATATAGAGTTCTTACTACAAGATCTCTACGGAGATTCTCAGTTATCCGGGTAATGGTTGTCCCAAAGGTGCTTTTTCAAGAGGCAACTAGACTTTCTGGTTTTTCTTTGAAGACGTTTTGCTTCTCATCCTCTGAAAAACTGAAGAAGCTTCTTAGATGAGAAGGGAAACGTCTTCAAAGAAAAGCCAGAAAGTTCAGTTGCCTCTTGAAAAAGCACCTTTAGGATTACTACAAGATCCTACCCATTTTCTTGGATTTGATAAACACAAACAAATCATAGAATCATACAAGATACAGTGTCAGCTGGATCTCCAACACGGGTATCTACAGCGTGTTTGCTATTGGCCATAGAAATGGAGAGGAGGGCATGAGCATTTGGGATGGGGAAGCGAGTTGGTGTATAGTAGTCCCATGAGAACTGGAAGGAAGGTACTCATGAATTACAGTGCTGCTGAGTGGAATTGTTTATACCCCATCAAGGCCATCTGTCCTGAGACTCCAGATGCGAGAAATACCTGAAGAGGAATTTTCCCATAACATCATATTGGATGTTGATTGGACTCTCACTGCTGGACCCTGGCAGGAGAGACTTTCAATGTGTAACTTTCGTGCGTTTTGAATCAGATCTTGCCTTGCTTTTACTGCTATCATTTCAAACTTAGTAAAAGTACCTCTTCTCTAATTCAATTTGGTTGGGGATTTTCTTTCTTGAGTTTTGAATGGAGGCAGGCCTGAAACATTGTTTTCCTCGTCACAGTGGTTTCTGCTCTACTGAAATCCAACCCTGAGCAATTACAAGAAACTTGCAAGTCTGGAATCCTCTTATCCCTAAAGCAGGGCTGTCAAATTCCCATACTGTGGGTCGGATGCAACACATGCTGGCCATGCCCACGCCAGTGGTGGGATTCAAATGTTTTCACTACTGGTTCTGTGGGCATGGCTTGGTGGGCGTGGCAGGGGAAGAAACATACTGTAAAATCTCCAGTCAGAGGTGGTATTTGCCAGTTCCCTGAACTACTTAAAATTTCCGTTACCAGTTCTCCAGAACTGGTCAGAACCTGCTGAATACCACCTCTGGCCCACGCCCAGTTTAGCGAAGGGAAAAAAGTCATGATACATCATGTGACACCGCCATAATGACTTGAGTTTGACACCTCTATCCTAAAGGAATCTGGGTAACCAAAGACTGCTGAAAAGAATCTGTGTATGCAACAAACTCAGGTGAGAATTCACAGCCTTATGAGCTTTTATCAGTTTTTATCAACATTCACTGCCCTCTCCAGGTTTTCCATTGCAATCATTCTAGACATCTTTTCTATAATTTCCCACTCCCTCAGTGAACCAAGTTGTGTAAGATTGGTGATTGGGTAGAAGTCTGGCAGAATCAATTCCTTCAGCACTCTGGCCATTTCTCTGTAGCTTCAACTTATGACCACAATTGAGCCCAAAAACATTCACCACACCACAAACTACACTAGATCCCTCTCCTGAGATAGGTAAATTAAAGACCACCCTCTATTTTTGAATTTTGGGGAACAATGTAAGACTAAGATTGAAACTTGAGCTTAAATATTCCATGACTATAAAACTGGTAGAAAAGATTATTGGGACCCCCAATAGCAGCCTCAGGTTGATACCCAGGACTGTAGCTGGGTAACTAGGAGAGTAGCACACTAACATTGGCCCTAGTCTATCCCTATAGCTCAATTCCACATAGAAGCAATCATATACCATTACCGTATCTCTGAGTTAGTGTTCTGTCACCATAAGGAACTCCTATACCATTACAACTATCAATTTACCATTGTTTCTGTTTTTAATACTCAAATTGATATGCGAACAGGCTTTGTAATACTGTAAACCTTTTTTTTAAGATGAAAAATCAATTGTGCTCCCAATACTATCTAAAAAACACTAGATGAGGGTAGGCTGCTATAAACGCAACCAAGAATCTATGGATAAGCAAATTATGCCTAGCATTTTATTACCAAGGATGTTGGAGGCTACTGAAATGCTGGCTTGAAATGTTTCTTGCACTTGAGAAGCAGCTTCTTTAACTAATTTTTCCTCTTCTAAGTTGGTCTGCACAGAAAAGAAGGCAAGTGTTAATTACATGTATTTCTTGATAATTTTTTGTATTTTTCACACTGAAGTGACACTCAGTGATAAACTGCACTGTTATTTCAAGGAATATTTTAGGATTACTGAGGGATAATTTTTAAACAAAGGAATTACAAGCTTGATATAATTATCTCTTGATACAATTACAAAATAAATAATTCAGTATTTTATAGATGAGGTTTCTTTCCAGTGATTTACACTGCAAGTCAAGGTATAATAGATAAACTGGTTAATTTAATAGTGTGCTTAATTATTTTTGTATCTTGGAATTTGTTATTGTGTAACTGATTTTTCTTAAATACCGTATTTCCCCATGTATAAGCACCCGCTTTGTATAAGCTACCCCCCCAATTTTTGGACTGTGAAGTTTTGAAAAAAATATTTTATTAGAGAAACAAGTTATGAAGAAAGAAAATTTACAAAGAAACAAAATTCGACGTCTAGATCTACAACTTCGGTCATGACGCCGAAAGCGGTGCGGGCGACGCTAGCAATCTACGCATCGGAACGAGAGTAGGAACGAAGCATTCAGGCCGATGCCTAGCGTATGCATTTCTATCGCGTACTCGCACTCGTAATCGTATCATCACGTACAATTTTTACAAAAAAGTATAGCATACTGCTGGAAAACCAGTTTATTCCTACTTTATTATTTTATGCATTTTTCACGTATAAAAAGTGTACCTGCTTTGTATATGCCACCCCCCTACTTTTTGGGCTTGAAAATTTTGGAAAAAAGGGGTGGCTTATACATGGGGAAATACGGTATGTTTATAATAACATTTGATATTTTGTTTTACAACTGTTTTTTCTTTCATGTTACATTTCTACTCTTCATATTGTTATTTAATTGTTCTAAACTAAAGAAAAAGACAAATGTAAGTACAAACCAGACTTTAAATACTGATAAAAGCAAGAATAATAAAGCAAAATAATGAAGTAACTTTTTGAACTGGCTTATCTTTCATCCATTTTTGGATTACCTTTTTAACACAGCTCTGAACATAACATATCTTTATGTGTTTTTAATTCATTAGCCTTTTGCCAAACCATAATTATGTACCTTTGGAAACTGATTCTCAATTTTCTGAAAAGTATTTAGTTAATTTAAAAAAAAAACTATAAAAATAAATAATTTCCTCTTGCTTTTTTCCTGCCTCTAATATTGAAATCTCATATCTCGTATCATTTCCCAAATTCTTTCCCGCCAAAGACGTAACCAACTGATGCAATACCCTTGTAATTATGCTGTGGGAACATAAATCGATAGAAATCATCAACCATTTGGCATGAAAAAAGTGTGGGACAGGTGAAATATGTAGATATAATTGACTGATGCATGAAATTCACAAACAGAAAAAAACTTTTGGACAAACAAGGCCCCTTTTGATTATTTGATGTGATTTGCAGCAATTTTCAAGAAGAGATTGGACAATAGTTTGTCTGGAATGGTCTCTTGTTTGAGCAGGGGTAGAACTAGAAGACCTCTAATGTCTCTTCCAGCTCTATTATTTTATATTTTATTATGCATTACTCTTAACTGAACTGATGGCTGAAATCACAATACACTGAAAGGAACATACACTGAGAAGGATCATTACTCAGTAGAGAAGATATGTGTTCGATATAGAGGGTCTCCTACTCAATACTTGGCATTTTCCTAGCAGGACTAAAAAAATTCTAACTTAAAATAATTGCTGTGCTTCATTGTAAAAAATATTTAATTTGATAGTCTAATTGACTGATCAATAAAATAGTCCAAAATACACACCTCTCCAATGGCCCCAAGCTGTGCTAAAGGAAATGCCCATCAGCATACTATAGATTTGGCCCTCCCAATGGAAAGGATTTGGGTTAACATTATTTTAAACTATCAATGAGCTGTGAATGCATCTGAAGAAAAGAATAAAAGAAAATAATGAGATTGTTACTTTTTAAGTGATAAATCAACGAAATTTACCAAATGTACAAATGAATCCGTACCAAATGTTCAAGAACAGACTAGGTGAAACTTGGCTCAACAGCAGTAACTGTGAAAGGAATACTGGAGTCCTAGTGGACAACCACTTAATCAGCCTCCATCATTCAATGCAACTCAAAGCCTTCAGCAGGAACCTCACTTTGCATATCTTGACATCAAGATAGAGGAAATGGGAACTTGGAGGGTAGGGAGTGTGAAGACCCTTCCCCCCCACACTTATGAGATAAATTATCAATGATTAAATAGCGTAACGAAAGCTGCTTTTGGAGTGTTCTTGTTTCTTTTTTTCGCCTAAACTTTGATGTTGTGTGCTCAAGAGTGGGATGATATGTCCTCAAGGGAGGGTGAATATCTGCCACCCCAGAATCCTAGAAGATGGGAAAGCCAGAGTGCTTCTATGGGAATGGCCCCACATACTGCAAGTATCCTCTGAGCTTGCCCAGTGCAAGCACCTCTGCAGCAAGATATACAGAGGAAATGGGTGAGTTGGGAGTGCAAAGAACCCTCCCTTTGTAGAAGAGGGCTCCCTTTCTGTGTTCATCTGGGCAAGAAGTGAAAGGAATCAACATGGACACAAGGAAACATCCCCATGCCTATTACTGCTGTAAAAGGGCCAAATATAAACTTTTCCATGCAGCTTACCAACCTTACATTTCTCTATGGCAACAGCCCCACCCACTGCAAGTGCTCCCTGGAAATTGCCCCTTGCAATTGCAAAAGCCTGGTGAGCCCTAACTCTGGGCATACTCATAATACTCCCAGGCTTCGGACAAAGCAGGAAGAGAAGAGTTCCTCTGGGCATGTGCAGATTGCTCTTGGGCTTTGAGCAAAGCATGAAGAGTGCCTCTGGGCATACGCAGAGTACTCCCTAGCTTCGGACAAAGTGGCAAGAATGTAATGCCTCTGGGCATGAGCAGAGAGCTCTCTGACTTTGGGCAAAGCAGGAAGAGTGCCTCTGGGTATACACAAGTGTGCTCTTAGGCTCCATGCAAACCAGGAAGAAAAGACTGTTTTTGGACATGAGCTGAGTTCTCTCAGACTTTTGGCAAAGCGGGAAGACAATATTGCCTCTGCAGATGCAGACTGCTCCTAAATTATGGGTATAGTAAGAAGATTGCCTCTGAGCATGTGCAGAGTGCTAACAAGCTTTGGGCCAAACATTAAGAGAAGATTGCCTCTCTGTGGACTTCCACTGCACAAAATACCCTGCTGGCATGGTAATTCTGTATAATTGAAGGTCCACAAACCACATACCCGTGGCCTCTTTTGTGGGTATTAGGTGGTGGTAGGATTTTTAAAATGTATTTATTAAGATAGGCTCTATCCTGCTCTTTCTTACAATACTGTGAGGTAGGCCAGGATGTGAGAGTGCCTATGTCCCCATATTGCCTTTAAAAGACCAGTACCCCCAGAGTATTTGGATGGGAGACCACCAAGCGATTCCAAAATTGTATGCTTGACAGGGAAGTGAGATAGGGTGGACTGTGAGAGTGGCCATGTCCCCAATCTTAATCCACCATGTTAACAGTGTCCTTCATTGCACACTTTTCATTAGCACCCTCAAACAGTTATTGGATGATACACCACCAGGCAATACCAGAATTGTATGTTTGACAGGGAAGCTGTGAGAGTGCCACATCCCCAATCTTAATCCACCATATTTCCTTCAAAGGACACTGTTAACAAGCATTCCCAAACAGAGTACTTGGAATACCACAAGGAGATCACAAAATTGTAGATTTGACAGGGAAGTCTTGAGACCTTGGCAAGGCAACACCTGTGATTTTCTTTTTCCTAGCACTGTTTGCATTTTCTAACAGCAGGCAGGGCCTCAACCCTGTGAAATGGCTTGACTACTTCAATGTAGGACAACATCCAGTGCTTTTCCTTTGCAAGAAAGTGTGAATTTTACCAGAATTCTCTTTGTCACAGGAGGGGAATGCTGCTTGCCTGGCCCTGCCACTTTCCCAGGCTCGGCATGTTGTGAGAATACCACCTGGGCATTCATCAAGGATGTAATAATTTGTATATAATTGCTCCATACAAATGGTATGTTATTGTTATTTAAAGGACAAGGCATTCCTTTAAATAACAATAAAAAAACCATTTTATCTGTTCTGGAAAGAAGATTGTTTCTGATTGCATTAAAATTGATTTTGGTTCCCCCCCAAAATGCTGTATAAATGACTTTTAATCTAATTAGCATAAGCTGTATGAAATCTAATGATGTAAAACAGCCAGTGAACACTAAAATATATTATCACTTTATAGCATGATGAAAAATAAGCACACCCATGTAAAGTTTGTTTCTTTTTTAACATATATAGACATACCGTACATATAAAGGCAATGTAATGAAACAAAACTATAAAGTCAGTCATTTATTCAACAAAAAACCCAACAGATATGCTATTTTCTGCATGGAGAAAGTAAGTACATCCCTGGCTTGAATATTAGATCCTTTGGCTGCAAGCCCCTCCCAGTGCCCCCATAATCTTGCCAGCTGCATATATACAATCCCTGCTGTCCCCATGCCTCCAAGATACATGCCATCCCCCCCAGCACCCCTATAATCTCTGCCACCCCAATTCCCAGGAGGGACAGCTATTTGTTCCATGCATCAAATTGCCAGAATAGAAATGGGCCTTAGGAAATGGGCCTGAACGATGGGCTGAAAGTGGGGGGCTGGATTATTGGTAGTGGAAAATCACCAGGACAGGACCAGCAGAAGAAGAATGGCCGCTGTTTCCATTGCAGCATGTGGCTGGTAGTGAAATGGGATAGTGCCTAAATGTCCTAGACTCAATCTAACCTAACCATCGAGTTGGCTATGCAAACAATACTACTACCATATAATAAAATTTATATGCCACCCAACTGCCAGCAACTCGTACTCATATTTCACGAGCTATTGGCTTACACTGAGCATGGGGGAATTTGAGAAGCCTACCTAATAAATTCAGCATCAAATCTTTCTAAA